AAGGTTAATTCTTGAACTCTTCGCTGACCAAGTCATCCTTGCTACATTACAAACTCTATCTGATTCAAATGTCAGTCTATTATCTCTGAGTGGCCCTAGGCCATCGTGGGACTACAATCATACATGTACAGCTACTGTAAAACATGTAATTTTAGGTGCATTGAAATTTCGGTGCCAGGGACCTGCCAGGTTTTACGCGTAGTTTAGAATCAGGTGACCAGCGTTCCCTTCACATGCGGTACATACTCCAATGCCTTTTAGGTGTAAACTTAGGTGCCTGGCTTCTCTACCGAGATCACCGAAATTAAAGTTACACCGAAAATTACACGTAACAAATACTAACAATAATGATGTTTTACAGAACAACAACAGCAACAGCAACAGCAACAGCAATATGAAGAGAGTATTGCCTACCTAAACGGTCAACTATTGCTGCTGCACTGTACTGCTTCCGCTTGTTATCAAGCGTTACTGCTCGATGTCTACACACTGGATCATGGAGAGGGTCGGGATGGCATGAAATCTTGCACAGGACAACAAGCCTGCTACCTAACTAACAAGACTGCGCCACCTTCATGGCGTCAAAACAAAGCTTCAGTTTTCGAGGAGGGCGTGTCACGCTCACAATTACATTCCTCGGCAGCTCGCAGCTCGCAGCGACGTGATTCCGCCAACCACTAAAACTCAATGTCAACAAAACTAAAATGCTTTTTCCATGTACCTACGGTGTTACATCGTCTGTAGCCCATTGTTTCTTCTTCCCACCCCTTGTCAGTCCAGCGAAGCCGGTTGTGCGACTTCACAATCTAGGACATCGACGGCGTTCTGGTACGAAAGAGGAAACACTTTCATCCCCTTCCTCTGATTGTCCGAATGCACTGATTACACACGATTACACACGATTGCACTGGCTGCCACGCGAACACAGCGGTTGCCAGTGCTGTGGGCATGCTTGTATGCAGGTCTTGCAGACACGATCGAATGCAGCTAGCGCCATATATAGCATTACACTCAGCTCGTGCCATGCGCCAGCTACCAGGCTACGCCTACGGTATGCCTATGATCAAGAGTCCATAACCCCCCAGGGTTATGGACTCTTGCTATGATATGACTGCATTATCTCGTCATACCAGGGAGTAGTAAAATACTGCTAATTCAGCACTCCCTTGCAAATCTCGTGCAACCATTATCGTACAACGCGATGGATGGATAGAGTTGAAAACTATTCATTTGAACATGTGTGCTTGTATTTCACCACTTTCTGGTCAGAACCGGTAATGGAAAGCAGGACAAACCGGTGGCTGCCTGCGTACATACTGTACAAGCAGAAATTTTATAGTCAGTGAACATTTCCTTCCTTCGTTCTGTTTAGGTCACCTTACAAGTGATGATTGTTTAGTTTGCTGGCCTTGCCAATTGTGTCACCACGATGTGTTAGTTTCTAGACCATTCATCTGCCTGCAGTATTCGTCTTTATATTTCGTGTTTTTGCCTCCCCTTCCTCAATGCCCTGATGATGCCCAATGGGCGAAATATTGGCAAAGTTATCTATTTGGTGCAGCTGAGAGCCTGTGCCGGAATGGCGGTATTTTCAAGTGAACATTTTGTCCAACAATTTGTCTGGTGGAAATAAATGTTCGTAGTAGTAGTAGTAGTAGTAGTAGTAGTAGTAGTCTATCGAATAGTATTCTTTTCTTTTTTGTTCACTGTGTTGTTATTCTATTTTCGCTGTTGCTTTGTAATATTTGAATTTCGTTCCACTTGTTGGTTGGAGTTTTACTTGGATCCGTTGAAATTTGTGCAATTACACGACCTCATTGAGCTAGGGATGCTAGGGATTGAGTTCATTTTTGCCTCCCGGGTGCAATGCTTGAGTTCTCTTGGTCAGGTTTCTTTTAATCTTCCTTTTTCTCTTCTTCTTTCAAATCCAGCATTATGTTTCCGGTGTTCTTTTCTTTCTTTGCATCATCATTTTATGTGGTCAATAAAAACACGCTTCCAAGTAGTAGTAGTAGTAGTAGTAGTAGTAGTAGTAGTAGTAGTAGTAGTAGTAGTAGTAGTAGTAGTATTTATTATTTTGTTAGGGAAATCCCTACAGACGTTGCCGTCTTCGTCCATGGGTGTTGAAACGTAGTGAAAGGCTATACAAATCGACATTCAGTCCGGCATTGAATTTAGTCCGAAAATTCTTTGGACGGAAAAAGGCTAAATAATTCCCAACGAATATTTGTGCTTGTACTGTACTTACTGCACTGTACAGTGTTCTTCGTTGCACTTAGTCCGTAAATTAGTACTTGCTTTCCTAGGGTACCCTGTACAAAGGCCTTTATTATTTAGGCATGTTGGGATTGTCCTATTAAAAATTATTGATAAATAACAAAATGTAACTCGGAGCCTTCCAAGTTGGAAGGTTGTTGGTTTGCGCCTTGGAGAAGTGTTGGAGCTAGGTGTCAGGTCGCCGAATGTCTCAGTACTCCTTGTCAGTTTTGTGCCATGTTGTCGCACTCGCTGACTGTATAAGATCTGGTTACGTTGGTGGACAGTTAGTCATAACTCGTAACATTTTGTCCTTCTTTTCACATTAATAACAAGAGCTACATTGTATATATTATCATCGTTCTAGCTCATTTTTTCCCGTCATAGTCCTGTTTATCATGTTCAGCATAAGCGAAGTTGTGGATCATGCTTGCATGGTTGACTCCAACGCGTACATGCAAGTAATAATAATAATAAATAACAAGAACAATGAAGAATAGGGCCTGTGCCCTTTCCTGGTATATTTTAAATCGCAATTGTGTTTGTAATACAATGAAGAACGCAGGTAGAACGCAGGTAGTATTGAAGATACATGTACTACTACTCCCTGGTTTATTATTATTATTAACTGGTTTGAGGGAAGAGACTATTATTATTATTATTAAACTCAATCTCGTAGCATGTGCACGCATTGCTAATGTGGGGAGCAACCCCAGAGATGAGGGCGATAACCAGCCATGGTAAAAGTACAAAAGAAAACAAGAAAACAGTGGAAAGAAAGGTTTATTCCTTACTTCCACTGGATAGGGAGTTTCTATGACATGTACATGCTTGTACAGTCAACTTCGCTAATAACGACTGCGGATATTACGACAATTCGCGAATAACGACAGAATTTCCAAGCCCAGAGCAAAGTCCCATCCAACTGTCACAATACATATAATGAGACTTCGGGTATAACGACACTTCGCGAATAAGGACACTTTTCTGATGCCCCGCCGAGTGTCGTTATAAGCGAAGTTGACTGTACATGTATATTGAACTTTTATTGACAGAGTACAGTGTACACTCAATCTGCGGACAGCATGCTGTTTCGTTCTTTGTGTGTTTGACAGAGTGCATGTACATGTAGGTGACCAATATGGGAAATAGGCCGAGTAAAAGACCGCGTACCGAGGTCCATCGAGGTCTTTTTACGAGGCCTATATTTCCCATATTGATCAACTGTGAGGTGGATGACATATTTATCATGGTGTTTCAACGTGTGTGGTGGCGAATTGGAAAACAAGTGCTCAATATGGCACTGGTCAACACTGGAGATCAGGTTACTAATCAGTGCAAGGTTTATGTACTCTTCGTGGAAGTCAATATGAACCCATGATAAGACAACCATAACGATCCTACAAAGGCTACATTCACATGTGTTGTTTGTTTGTATTCTTTATTTAGAAAGTGGCAAGTCCAAAACAGGCCCTAGCCTAATAACAATGGTCCCACTACTAGTCAGGGAATGCTGTATATCTGTGCATAAGGATCAGTGAGTGTAACAGCAACTAGTACTGTAGTAGGGAAAGAACAGATATCGCTACAACATGTACAGGTGCATTCAATGTATTCTTTCCTGATTTTGGTTTTTGTCATTTCCTCCTTGAGTGCTTAGGAAAGCATTTCCTAGTTCCCCCTTCTTTCTGATTTCAAACTGGATGTGCCATGAGGAGTTTTTCCTTCCGTTTTTTCAGTTCTTCATGTACCGGTACATGTAATTCTAATTTTATACCTTTCCATTGATGGTCCTTTATCACTGTCTCTTTCTCGCAAATAAAATACCATGGCTTTTTATTGTGTTTATTTTGCCCGTAAAATTGAAAGAGGCCTGTTCACATGTAAAACAAAAAAAGCCACGAAGAGTTTGCTGCTTGCACGTGCACATCCACGTGCACCACTGCACCCTGCACTATTGTACGCACGTCCACGTGCACTCTACCCCAATGCGTATGCGTACGCGTCCTTCCAAAAAAAAAAATGCGTATGCGATATGCACTGCAACATCATTGCATTGCATTCTATTGCATGCAGTGCAGACAGACATGCATTCCTGTAGTATTCTATTCCTGTATAACAAGGCATGCCCAGTTATAAAACAACAGCCCATGCAGCCCAGTCCCCACATTACTCTGGACAAGAAACCAGTGCTGTGGTCACTAGTCAGCAAGAGCAACCTTGTTGATGCTCTTGCATTTTTCCAAATCTTGGTTTGCTGGATCATGTTTGTAGGGCTATTGTTGCAGTATCATTGACTTCATTGTACAGGTTTGTGAGCTAGAATCGTTTGTGTAGCAAAGGTGATACCTTGGTCTAGTACACTGCAGTCTGTAGTGTAGTAGCATTCTAATCATACAGTGGAAAGGATCGACCAGAATGCTCGTTCTAACTGAAGACGTGTCAGTGCTAGCTCTCTATGATCTGAAGAGCATAGTGCTCGCTCTCTATGATCTGAAGAGCATAGTGCTCGCTCTCTATGATCTGAAGAGCATAGTGCTCGCTCTCTATGATCTGAAGAGCATAGTGCTCGCTCTATCTGCAACGCACCCGAGTGCACGCTGTGCAGTAAACCTTTTTCAAAAGTTTATTTTCCCTCAATTCCCTCAAGCTTCCGATTACTCAAATAATACCGGTACTGATAAGTGATAACGTCCCTCGAATCATATAATTATCATTACAGTAAAGATGTGCACATTTCTCACCTTGTCAATTTGATAGCGGTCAGCTCCTGAGATCTTTAGTTCGTGCAGTGCAAAGGATATGGAGTCCCAAGCGATGGCCGTGTAATGTGTAAGCTTTGCGGTCAAGTCGAGTGTACCACCAGCAACGACACCTGCAACATCCTGTGTGTGTGTGTGTGTGTGTGCGCGCGTGCGTGTTTATGTCTGTCTGCGTGCCCGAGTGTGTGCGTGTGTTTGGGTGTGTGCGTTCACACCAGACAATCAGTAAGTCATCCAGTACGACCACAGTGCAATCCGTACGTTTGTTCTGAACACGACCGTCTGATCAGGCAATCCACTTACACCAAACCCAGGGTTTACACAACAAGACCTGTACTATCAAGAGGGGCACCTGTACTCACCACAGGTTTGGTCTAAAACGATATGCCGGGTGGGTACAGTTGGCTAGCTGGGTCTGAATCTGTCCGTCTCTCCTGGTCACGTTCCAGTCTTCCGGCTGTTCTCACTGGTACTCTTCTTACTGAGCTGAGGCTGGCAACGCTGCTGCTGCTACTACTAGGCTAGTGGTTCTGCGTCAGGTACTACTAGTACTAGAGACCTGGCATGCATGCACTGAACCTAGTCTAGCTGCAGGTCTGCCACGCTCACAACAAGGTTCTGGACAGGGGGAGGAGACGGTCGGTGGGTAGGAGAAGACAGAGAGAAGGAAAAGCAAGCGGAGCCGAGCTGTGTCACGGCAGTTATGGGCGATGTGGGTTGTGGTGCTTCTCACGTACACCATGCAGCTGGCAGAGCTGGGATCGGGAGGGGGGGGGGTGTTGACTGTGTTCACGTACAAGACCACGCATGGCCACTGTACGCTCTCGTACGTTGGTGGGCGATTTGGCACCAGTCCTGTACGCTGTTTGTCGCGCGCGTATCACCAGCGTAGTTGCAGAGAGTCGGTATGCGTTGCGATCACCTTGGAGCTTTCCCCGGGGTCCCACGGGCAAAAGGAAAAGTTAACGATAGGGAAAATACTGAAAGCAAGCTATTTTTTCACTATGAAACAAACCAGAGAAGAAGTTGTCAAATCATGAAAACAGAGAGAAGAAGGTAATGGATAAACCACCCTGTCAGGTGGAAGCTTTAAACTGTCGCATCCTTTTGATCGTTGCTCAGCTTCCCCGTCGGGCGTATTATGGGATGACGCGCGCGTCGACGCGGGGTACGGTACTGTACAAGGCACGGTGTTGTTTTATATGAGTACCCACGCCACAGCAGTAGAAAAGTTCACCAAATCCGGCAAATTCGGATTGCATGCAGTTGAGACAAGGTCAGCCAGGAAGAGTACAATCATCCAGAGCTTGAGATCTTCTACGCTCTGTGTACAGGTCCGTATACGTGCAACCCCCGTCCACGTCCATAAACTGCATACCAGGCGTATCCAGGTTGGAGCCCATAAGTAAAAAAGTTGCATAACAAGCGCATGCAACTCTGGCAGTCTGGGTACTAGTATCACGGGTCAATGCGCAACTCGCTACCTGCATTACTACAATAGTATGTAATGTTTGATTTCTTTTGGGTACGATTGTGGCTGTGACCACAATAAAGGAAAGGTTGACAGGATCGCCTTTCTAAAAATTAATGAAAGCAGCACCTGATCCCCTAATTGGCCATTGCCAAGACCTCACAGTTGCCTACTCTTGTTTATGGACTCTTGAATACACTAAGCAGAGCTAGAGGGCAAGAAGCGATTACAGTCATTATCTAAATAATGACTGAGCTGATGATGAGGTCGAAGTCCATATAAAATTATATCATTATACGTATAGCCATAAAAACTGCTGATAATGGCATTCGTGTTGGGTTTAACTATTCACTGTGCTGATACATGGTGATGATTGTGCTCCGCTTTGCCCGTAAAAGAGGTCCTCCGGTGGATTCTTTATGGCAGTTTTCTAAAAAAAGTTATTGTGTTCTAGTCCTGGGTAGTAGTAGTAGTAGTAGAATTTATTATTTTGATAGGGAAGGCCCTACAGACGTTGCCGTCTTGTTACAGGGAACCCTAAGTGCTCTTTACAGAGCGAAACAAAAACGGATAGATGCTCAACCTGACGGCACGAGACAGGCAGAGAATTCCACCTATCAGCGCCAAGGAAAGAAATAGAGAACATGCCATATCTAGTGGTAGCAGCGGGCAAAGAAAGTGAAGAGAATGATTGCCCTCTAGTGCGCCTCTCGGTGCAAGTAGCAGCCGACTGGAGGGTGAACATTGAGGAAAGAAGAGGACTTGTAAGCTGATGAATACAGCGGAAAACAAAAATAAAAAGCCTCAAGTTGAGACGAGATTCGAGGGAGTATAACTTAGCGTGCCGCAAAACAAAGACAGTCGGGGTACGGCGAGGGAGACCAAAAACCTGTTTCATGCTGATAACAAGGCGAGAGTATAAAGATGGTGTAAGACAGTGAGCATAGGAGTTGCTGGCGTATTCAATAGTGGATTGGATGAGGGATAAATAAAATATTCGCTTAGTTGTGTGGTCTACTGTACGGCGGCAGCGGCGGAATGCTCCTATCTTCTTATAAACAGATGTACATACATGGTTGACTTGATCCTCAAAGGTGAGGTGTTGGTCAATAATTAGGCCAAGATAACGCGCTGTGGCAGAAGGTCGAATATCGACACCACCGCATGCAATGGTAAGATCCGGCGGAAGAGGCAGAGCCTTCTTCCGAAGCACCATGTGTAGCAGATTCACTGTTACTACTAACACTAGGAATAGGATACACTTATCACCTGCTATTATCACGCTGCTGCTGTTAGGTGTTATGTCCATCATTGCTTGTTCATGTATATAAGAATGCATTATGGCAAGGATCATTGCTTATTCCAAGAATGACTACTGAAGTTAGTTGGACTGTTACACTGGTAGCAAGAGGATGGTTTTTCTTTTCGTCATGTTCGGGCTATGCGCAGTGGCCGCATTAGTCGCCTACGGTATATTCGAGATTCAGAAGCGTCTGAATCACCTTATCGCACTCGGTCAGTGCGATGGATCAGATCAAACGCCAAGACGTGCTCAAGCTCCCAGCTGAGAGAGGCCACGCATGCGCCATGTTAAGTCTCCGCCTGTGTTTCGTGGAGATACAAGAGAGTTCAAGGAGTGGGCCTTCGCCATCGAACTCGCCATGAAGTCCCTGCAGCTGGACAACGCGGAGGAGCGCTTGAGCTACGCGGCGAGTTTTCTGGAGGGCAACGCTCGTCTTTGGTTTATCGCCTCTCAGGAGGCAAACACGCTGTTTTCCGACTGGCCAGACCTGAAGAGCAGGCTGGGAGAAGTGTACGGCCCGGTTTATGACAGGGAACAGGCGCGCATCGACTTATTCGCTCTTCACCAAGATGAGACTCTTGACGAATACATCAACAAATTTTCGCGGCTTAGCTTACAAGTTCCCGAGCTTGATGACCACTCCAGAGCTATCTTGTTCACGCGTGGGCTGGCTCAGGGCCTAAGCGGTGAGGTACTTAGGGAGCATCCGCAACATTTGGCCCAAGCCATACGAGCTGCGGTCTCAGCAGACCAGTCGATGCGGCTAGCCCAAGCAAGCTACGCCAAGGCAGTGCGCGCACCAGGGCATCAGAGGCGCCAGCCTGGACCCTGGTCAAGCCAACCAACACCATCCGGTGGGAGAGAAACCAAGGAGCCAGAGGGTCGTTCAAGGCTGTGTTTCACCTGCAGGAAACCCGGCCATATTGCCAGATTCTGTCCAGAAGGAGGGAGGAACGCCACAAGCAAGCCTTCTTTAAACGATGGACGCCAGTAAGGAAGGGAGTGCGACTACTGGCGAACACGAGAGCACCCAGGAATAGGCCACGAATCAAAGTTCAGAACAAATTCAGCCCCTTAGCAAATGAGGAACCACGCCTCGAGGAGACCGAAATTCAAGCCTCGCCTGTCAAGCATTCGTCACCTGATACTGTTGGCCGGCCTAATGAAGTAACCGCCAGCACAGGGAGCATTTCCGCCGACAACGAACACGACCTAATGCGCGTCCAGGGCAAGATAAATGGACGTCGCGTTACCATGCTACTGGATTCTGGGTCAACCCACGACTTCATTTCAACTGACCTTGTCAAGAAGCACAACATCTCCACAACAACCGGTAGCGATGTCCTGAACGTCACACTTGCTGATGGATCGGTCCGCTCACAGCCTATTACGAAAACGGACAGCTTGAAGACCGTAGTCGGCGACTTTAGCGAGCACCAACAGTTCCTAGTATTCCCTATGACGCGGTATGACGTGATCCTCGGCAAACCATGGCTGACCCGGACGAACCCACAGATCAATTTTCGTACCAATGAAATCAAGCTGGAGGGTGGATCCATCATCTGTCAACCGAGTGAAAGTGATGGCACGGACAAATCCAACCCACCGATCGAGACGTTCCTCATCTCAGGGAAGCAGGCTAGGCATGCAATGAGAGGTGGCGCAGAAGGAATCCTAGCGTATGTGACAGCAGATCCGGACGAGCCACAGACGGTGGATAGTCCGAGTAGGGAGGATCAGAAGGATTTCAAGGACCTGCTGAAGGAGTTCGGGGACGTCTTTCCCGATGAGCTTCCAAACAAGCTGCCACCCAGAAGAGGCGCAGATCACGAGATAAAAACGGAAGAAGGAGCTAAACCGCCATCTCGTGCAGCATATCGTTTACCAAAACCAGAGATGGATGAGCTTCAAGCTCAGCTCACCGAGCTGCTCCGTAGAGGATTCATCCAGCCCAGCAAATCCCCATACGGAGCCCCTGTGTTCTTCGTAAAGAAAGCGGACATAATAATAATAATAATCATTCTTTATTAAAGGATCTCCCAGAGGCGATGGCCTGTCGAGGGGATCTCCTGATGCAAATCATGCAATAGAAATAAACAGTGAGGAAAACTACACGTGTTACAGTATATGCTACATAAATTAGCAATAAGCACAGGGCTGGGTTGTTAAAAATAAAACAATTAATTTAAATGTCCAGGGATATACCACTACAGTCAAATTTAAAACTTTTCACGTGCAAGCGATATTGCTGCTGAAATTTAGAAAGTGAATCTTGGGATGTCAGCCTTGGTGGAAGGCAGTTCCACAGCTTTCCGATCTTATGCAGAAAGAGAGAGGAATGCGGCCATGAGAATTGAAAATCAGTTTGTTTGGTCGGCGTGCGCTAGAAGAGATATTGATGTCAAAGCGGGATAGATAATCTGGGTGCCAATGGATATACTTGAACAAAACGGTGATGGAAATGTAAGTGCGTCGGAAGTGATGGAACACTTCGAATGGTATGCGACTGGCGTGAGCTAAACCGCATAACCATTAAGAACAAGGCATGCCTACCGAATATTGACGACCTCTTTGATACCGTCCAAGGCAGTGCGTATTTCACCAAGCTAGATCTGAGGTCCGGTTACAATCAGATTCGAATAGAAGAAACAGATATTCCGAAGACAGCAATAAATACCCCATTCGGTCACTTTCAGTTCACAGTGATGGGTTTCGGCCTAACAAATGCCCCGGCAACATTCCAAACCTTGATGAACAGTGTCCCCCAGCCATACCTGCGTAAATTCGTTGTGGTGTTTCTAGACGATATCCTCATATTCAGCAAATCATGGGAGGAGCACCTCGATCATGTCAGAACCATCTTAAACGCCCTCAGGAGGAATGAGC